GCGGCGCGGCGCGCGCGCGAGCCGCCGCGCCAAAGGCGGCGAGGGCCGCGTCGGCGGCGGCCGCGGCGTCCGCGAGGGGCCCGCGGCGGAGCCGCTCCCGCGCGGCCGCGGCGCACGCCGCCGCGAGGCGGCCCGCGGCGCGGTCCTCCGCGCCGGCGACGGCGGCCGCGACGGCGCCGCCGTCGCCGCCGCGGAGCGCGAGCTTCGCGACGTAGGCGCAGCGGCCCGCGTCCAGGGCGGCGGACGCGTCGCGCGCGCGCCACAGCCCCGCGGCGCCCAGGCGCTCGACGGCGTCGAGCGCGGCGCGGCCGTCGACGCGCGCCTTGAGCACGGCCAGCGCCGCGAAGCGCTCCGCGGGCCCGTCGACGTCCACCACGCCCAGGTCGTCGCTCGGCGCCGCCAGCGCGTCGAGGTCCGCGTCGTCGAGCCGCGGCGCGGCGTCCCGGAGCTTTCGCAGCGGCAGGAACAGCTTGAGGTCGCCGCGGAGCGCGCGGCAGACGTCGACCTTGGCCCGCAGGTCGTCGACGAGCGCCCAGACGCCGGGGCCCCGGGCCTCCGCGAAGGCCGCGTCGTCGTCCGCGAGGCGCTCGTGGTCGTCAAAAGTCAGGCACGCGAGCAGGTCGCCGCACAAATTGACGTCGTTGCCGCCGTCGAAGGCCTTCGCCGCGACGTCCAACACGAAGACCGCGAGGCGCGTCTGCGACGGCGCGAGGCGCTCGGGCACGGGGATCGTGTGCGCCGACGCGCGGCAGGCCGCGAGCGCGACGCCGAAGTCGCCGCGGTCGTCGACGGCCTTGAGAGCGAGATCCGCGACGGCCGCGAGCAGCGAGTCGTCGCCGCCCTCGTCGTCTTCGGGCGGCAGGGCGAACTTGCCGCTCACGAAGGGCCCGAGCAGGCTCCGGAGCGCCGCGGCCTCGGACGCGTGGCGGCCGCCCCCCGAGCGCTCGACGAACCGCGCGGCCTCCTCGAGCTTGCTCCGCCGTGATCGCGCCTCCCACGCCGCGAGGCTCTCGAGTTCGTCGCGGAGCGCGCCCTCGTGGAGCAGCCGCGCGAGGTGCCAGGCGTCGCGGTGGAGCGGGCGCAGCGCGAGGGCGGCGGCGCCGAGCGCGTCGCGCGCGATCGCGCAGACGTGCTCCGCGTGCGCCGCCGCGCCCGCCTCCGCGTCCATGGCCCGCGCGCGCGCGCCGTACCAGGCCGCGACCGCGTCGTCGTCGACCGCGTCGTCGGCGACGAGCTCCGGCGCGCGGGCTACATGCCGGTCCGCGACGGCGCGGTCCCGGACGGACGCCAGCTCGTCGGGGACGTCGAGGTCGTCGAGGCCGTCGTCGACGGCCGGGCCCGCCGCGCCGCCGTCGAGCGTCGGGAAGAGCCACGCGTACGTCTTCGGCGGCACGGTCTCCGGCACGGCGTCGAGCGCCGCGAGCCGGACCGACGACCGCGGGCCGACGCCCTCGAGCGCCGCGCCGAGCGCGCGCACGAGGCCCGCGCGCGCGAGCGCTTCCAGCAACTCCGCCAAGGATTCAAAAGCGAGGAACGCGCCGAGCGCGAGCGGGCTCGCGGACCGCGCCGTCGCGGCCCGCAGCGCGCCCGCGAGCGGGCCGCGCGCGGGACACGCCCGGGCCCTCGCCGCGTAGGGCGCGCGCTCCGCGAACGCGCACCGGTCGTAGAGCTCGTGGCGCCGGAGCGCTCCGCGCAGCGCGGCGCGGCGCGGCGCGGCGTCGCCGTCGGCGGGCAGCGCGTCGAGCGCCAGGCCCGCGGCGGCGTAGGCGAGGCGCGTGACGACGCCGGAGGCGCCGGAGGCGCCGAGCGCCGCGTCGACGACCCAGCGCCGCGAGTCGTCGTCCTCGCAGTTCGAGAGCACGGCGACGTCGCCGGGCCGAGCGACGGAGCCGGTCCACGCGCGCTTCCGCGCCGCGAGATCCATGTTGTTTCGACGCCGCGCGGCGGCCGCGGCGCGTCGACCGCTTCGGCGCGCGCGACGACGATTTACGCGCGCGCGATATCGACGCGCATCGGTGCGGCGAGAAAGCTCCGGTTGTTCTTGAAGGCGTATTGAAGGCGTCTCACTTATGGATGAGCCCTTAGGGCAGCCCTCAGTGCGGCTATTCCCCCGGCGATGCGCGGTTCGGTAGGTGAATGAGGCGTTCCTGGGTCGCGCTGGCCGCCGCCGCCGGCGCGTGCACGCCGGAGCCGCTGGGCGGCGGCGCCGTGCGCCTGAAAGGCGACGTCGACGTCGCCTGCCTCGAGGCCGCCGCAGCGACCGGCGCGACGTCGCTGGCGTGGTCCGTGCCGCGGCGCGGCGGCGTCGACGCCTGGCGCCGGACCGGCGAGCGCGTCGTCGACGCGTTCCTCGCGCCGCGGCCCTGGTGGCGCGTCGCCGAGGAGCCCTTCGAGGGCCTCGCGGGCGCCGAGACCGGCGCCTTCGCGCTCGAGCTCCTCGGCGACGCGAAGCAGGTCGCGTTCCTGCGCGCCGTCGCGGCGCTCCAGTTCCCGGAGCGCTGCGGCCGCTGGCACCCGCGCCACGTCGTCCGGCTCAACCGCGCGCGCAAGTTCGCCTCCATGTTCGGAGAGATCGCGCTCGGCGGGGCAGGAAAACAGTGCTTCAAGGTCGCTTCAACATGAGTGTTCCCGCGCGCGCGCGTGCCGGAAAAAGCATCCACGCGTCGAGAGCGCTCCGAGAGATGATCGCTCGTCCAAAAATGAGCCGAAACGAGTGGAAAACGACCGAGAGAGGAGCCTCCACAAAGTTGGGAATTTCGCACCCTTTTCCTGCCCAGGCGCTGGGTCTCCTCCGCGCGTTCCACGGCGCCAGGGCCTTCGTGCTCGTCAACGAGGACTGGCGCCTCGCGGACCCGGCGCTGTGCGCGGGAGCCGCGACGAACTTCGAGTGCGCGTTCCTTCCCCTCTCCTCGTGCCGGCCGCGCCGCGAGGGGCCGGGGCCCGAGCGCCGCGAGGACGCGCCCGGCGACGGCAACCTCACGCGCCGCGCCGCGGGGGCGCTCTACCCCTGGCTCTGGTCCGGGACGCCGCGCGCGGCCTACGCGCAGGACCGCGGCGCGCTGGAGGCGGCCGCGGAAGCGCCGGGCACGACGGGCCACGGCGCCGACGGCGATGAGACGGACCCGTTCCAGCTCTGGCGGCCCTGCGCGGACGACCCGGCCTGCCGCGCGCGCATGGGCGCGGACTGCTTCGTCGAGGCGGGCCTCCTCGCCTTCGCCCTGCGGCCGCGGCGCCGCGTGCGAGCGCGGCTCGCGGCCCGCGGCGCGGCGCCGGTCCCGGACTGGCGCGGCGACTGCGCGACGGTGCACGTGCGCCACGGCGACGTCATGCTGGACGGCTGGCTCGAGTGGCGGCCGTCGGCGGACCGCGGCGTCGAGGGCTTCCTGGGCGCCGCGGCCGCGCTGCTGGGCACGCCGACGCCGCGCGCGTTCCTCATGTCCGACGACGCGGACATGGTCGCCGACGCGGCGCGCGCCGCGGCGGGGCCGCTGGCCTACGCCAACGTCTCCCGGGGCAGCCACCGCGCGGGGCTCGGCCCGGAGGACTGGTCCGCGCTGAGCTCGGGATCCGCCGCGCTCCTCGACGTGCTCCACGAGCTCGAGCTGGCGACGCGCTGCCGCGCCTTCGTGGGCAACTGCTTCTCCCTCTTCTCCCGGTCCGTCTTCCGGACCATGTGCGTCCACCGGGGCGACTGCCCGCCCCACTACAGCGCGCGGTCGGACCTGCGCTGCTGCGGCACGTCGCACCTCCTCCAGCAGTCCCGCGCGAAGCCGCCATAATTTTTGGATGTTTACACCGGGGTCGAGTTTCCTTGACTCGAGGCGCCGGCTCCGTCCGGGAAGAACGGGCGGCGCGCTTGGGCTTCGTCGGGGAGGCTGGTAGATGCGGCGTCGGGCGTGCGATCGGGCCGCGTCAGCCGACGCGACGTCGACGACGAGCCGTCGCGGACGACGCGCCATCGCCGCGGCGCCGCGGACAACGCGAGATCAGTGCGGCAAAGGCTGGGCCAGGCTCGCGACGAAGTTCTTGGCCTCCAAAGCGATCGACGCGACCGTGGCGGGCGCCGCGACCTCCCGGCCCTGCAGCTTCCAGGAAGAGATGCCGAAGCCGGCGTCCGTCGGAGCGCACTCGGTGTCGTGGACACCGCATAACGGCGTGTGGAAGTTCCAGCCCATGTTGGCAGCAGGGCCCCCGACTAAGCAGTTGCACGACATCTCTGGTGGCGACGACGAGGACAAGAGAAGGACTGTGGACACGTATTAGTCACCTCAGGCGGCCGCACACCCCAGCACCAGGGAGATGCGCTCCTTCCCGGCCGCGTCCGGGTGGGGCATCGCGCGGTGGACCCAGTCCCACCGCGCGGGCCCCGAGAGCAAAACGAGCGTGCCGGGGCGCACCACCACCCTCGTTGGCCGGTCCGCCGCGCTCAGGTCCGCGTGCGGCGCGAAATCCAATATTGCGGGCGCGAGCAGCGTCGAGATGCACGTGATCTCGCCGTTCGCCGCGAGGTCCGTATGCCACGGAAACAAAGCGCCGCCGGCCTCCGCGAGCGCGCCGTCGTCGGCGCCGCGCGCCTTGTAGTCGTTCAAAGTGAGCTTCCAGGTCAATTCATCGCCCAGCGCCTTGACCACGTCGAGGTCCTCGAGCGCGGCGACGACGGGCGCGCAGGCCGCGGGGATGTTGTCGGTGCCCCGGAAATACGTCAAAGCGTGGTGCCGGCTGCCGTACTCGGCGAAGTGCTCGCAGCGCAGGGTCTTGTCGCCCGCCGGGTCGGCGACGCGCAGGGCGTGGAACGCGCGCTCCTCGGCGAGGTTGTGCGCGCGCGAGACGCGACCTTTTTCGGGCTGCGGGATGCCCGCGACGCGCGGGTCCGCGTCGTCGCCGAGAGCCCGCGCGGCCGCGTCCACGGCCGCGATCAATTCGCGCGCGCCCAACACCACTTTGCTGGCCACCTCTTGTGTTGGCGTGCCGAAGTTCTCGAAGACGTGCAGCCCTGGAGGCCAGCCGGCGGTGCCGGTCGTAGAGTCCGTGGGCGCCGCAGCGACGGCTGCGGTAGCTACGGCGCGAGAACCAGCGGATGCAAGGGCTCCGGCGCGAGAACCAGCAGCTCCGGCGCGGGCCGCATGGGCTGCATGGGCTGCCCCGATCAGCATCATCGTTCCCAGCGTGTGCATCCGAGTCCAGAACTCGACCGTTGCGGCGTCCGTTGGCCCCGGACCGGCCGCGCCTACGTATACACTGTGACTTGCGCCTCCCGCCTTAGTCCCCGCCCTCCTCGCGCTCGTCCTCGTCGGAATCGGCCCGGGGCCGGGGCAGGGACCGGCACGTGTGCGTGAGCGCGGCCCTGTTCCGCTCGATGGACGCGGCCACCGCGGGCGGCACGTCGACCTCCGCGAGCCCCCAGAGCGCCTGGGACGCGCAGTTCTGGCCGTGGCTCACGTGGACGAAGAGGCCGCGGTCGTCGTCGAGCTCGTGGCACTTGAACCAGCGCACGAAGGCGCCCTCCTCGCCGACGTTGAGCTTCGGGTACTTGGCGCGCGCCCCGTAGCGCGGCTCGAGGCGCCTCGGGTGGAGGTGGACCATGGTCTCGCCCCGGCTGTTGCCCCGGTTCCCCTCGATGCGGAAGACCTTCTGCGAGATGGCGTGGAGCTCGAGCCAGCCCTTGAGCGCCACGAGGCCCGCGCCGGAGTCGAACAGGTGGCGCACCATCGTCGTCACGTAGTTCGGGTGGTAGATGTTGTCGTCGTCCATGAGCACGCAGACGTCGCCCGTGCACCTGTCCGTGACGACCTGGCGCTTCTCGCCGAGGCTCAGCACGCAGTCCGCCGCGTAGGTGTAGTCGCAGCCCGACGCCTCCAGCACCTCGCTCGGGCCGCCCGGGCCCGTGTCGTACACCACCAGCTCCACCTCGCCGTCGTAGTCCTGGACGCGCCAGTTGTCCACGAGCAGCCCGTGGAACTTGCGCCGCTTCGGCGTCGTCGGGCAGAGGATGGACACCTTCCACTTGGGCGGGTCGCGCGTCCGCGGGTCCGCGCCGGCGCCGCAGCCCGCGCGGCACCGCTCTGACGTCCGGCAGTTGACGCGGCTCGCGCGCTTCTCGAAGGCGTCCTGCTCGGCGAGCACGCACTTCAGGGTCGGGTCGCCGTCGGACTGGACGTGCTCGTAGGGCGGCGGCCGCGGCCGCGCGGACGGCTTGACGGTCGTCGCCGGCGCGGCGCTGGGGGCCATCCAGGGCGCCGGCCGCTCGCCGGCGACCATGAGCGCCTTGTCCGTCGCCGTCGTGTTGTTGTGCTTCTGCCGCATGAAGTCGCGGAACGACGCCATGCTGCTTGGGGTCGGCTTCAGGGATCGATGGCCATCGCGGCCGGAGACGTCCTGAGAGCAGCCCTCACTCCAACATCAAGGCGCCGTTCCGTTACATTCGGCGAGTTTTTAAAATTTCCGAAGTGCACACGGCGATGATTATGCGGTCTATGTCCAGCGGCCAAAAGCGCCCCTCTCTCTACAGGTTCTCGGGGATGCCGTCCGTGGCGAAGTGGTCCTGGAGGCGCTTGTTGCACTTCCGGAGCGCGCCGAGGAAGGACGTGAGCTCGTCCTTGAGCGCGCGCTTCCACTCCTTTCTGTCGCTCCCCGACGTGCCGAAGGCGACGAAGAAGCGCTCGCGGTGGGGGATGAAGCTGAGGACGCCCCGGGCGATCTTGCGGACGAGGAAGTTGTGCTGCGGAGCGTAGACCGCGTCGTACGCGCGCTGCGCCGAGTCGCGGATGACGGCGTTCGCGCCGTCGTCCCGGGCCACGTCCGGGTCGAAGGCCGCGTCGCCCTGCTCCTCGACGCCCCGGAGCAGCCGCTCGAAGAAGTCGAGGAAGAGGTAGGACCAGTACGCGCTCGTCGCGACGACGGAATCGCGCTCGCCCGAGATCTGCCGCTCCCGGGCGACGAGGCCCTCGAGATCCACGATGTCCCGCGACGTCGCCGCCCGCTGCAGGTTGCCCGAGTCCTTGCGCAGGGGCTTGGCGACGAACGACGCGAGCACGTCGACGACGGGCATGAGGGCTTCGACGGACCGCGCCAGTTCGACGACGTCCATGGACGTCGAGTAGTTCACGGCGCTCTCGAGGTGCCGCTGGCTCTCGCGCAGGATCGACGACGGGAAGGGGCACTCCGGGGCGACGCAGGTCCGCGGGGGCTCGGCGAGGGCCACGTTGGCCGCGGCGGCGAGGGCCTGGCTCGCGACGAGGAACCGCCGGAGCATTGTTTTCGGGGCGCGTGACCGTGGGCCGGCGGCGGCGGGGCGCGGGCGGCGTGTCGGCGCCCCGGGGGGTGTATCAGGTCGAACCGAGCAGGGGTAACTCGAGAACTCGATGCGTAAGGCGGACAGCTGAGTTGGCGCTTGGACCGGCTGCGAGCGCGTCCCTTTCCTCTGCAACACCGACTTGAAGCAGCCACCACAGCCTTCCAACCTGCCTCCCGCACCCAGCCGCCGCCGTGCTGTGCGTGGGAAGCTTCTTACGGCGTCACAACACCCCCGAGCGAGGGAAATCCGCGAGCGCGCGCGCGCGGCGCGCGGTCCCGAAGCGGAAGCGGAAGCGCGACCCGCCGGCCGCCGAAAAAGAGCAGCTCCGCGAAACGACAGCCCGCCGACCGCGCCGCGTCCCCCTAGACGCCCGGGCCGACCCAGACGTCCATGGCCGCGGGCTCGGCGACGTGGACCCAGGGCTCGTCGCGCGCCGGGTCGGCGGCGGCGGCCGCCGCCTCGAGGAGGCCGCCGCCGCGCTCGTCCTCGAAGGTGACGCGCTTCGCGGCGCGCTCCTCCATCTTGTGGGGCCGGGGCGGCAGGTGGATGGTGCAGGCGGGGATGAAGGTGTAGCAGTGCCAGGCCTCGGCCGCGATGGCCTCGTCCAGGTCGCCGGCGCACTCCGCGAGGCGCGCGGCTTGTGCGTGGAGTCGCACCACGGCGTGGGGACCGAGGCACGAGTAGGCGAGCTGGCGCGCCAGCTTCACGGGCTTCTGCGAGGGCTGCGACGGCATCGCGAGGGCTGCTGCGGAACGCGAACGAGACCCGAAAGACTCTTCAACGAGGCGGTTGAAAGTCAACATTGTTCCACCGTCCCGCGAGAAGAAAGCTATGGACGTCCTGCCCCGCTAAGGCTGCCCAGCCCACCAGCCATGGCCGCCGTCCGGTCCCGCGGCGCGTCCGTGGAGAAGCCCGTCGAGTCCATAGAAGAAGCGCCGCGCGTCGTGGAGAAGCCGACCACAACCATCCCCGACGCCGAGGAGCCCTCGTCGCTCGTCAAGTTTATCATCTTCGTGCACCGCTCGGCCATCTCCTTAAATTCGCTCCTGGGCCACTTCCGCTTCTGGGAGGTGCGGAGCGACAAGCACCTCTTCGACGGCCTCACCTGCGGCATCTTCATCCGGTCCCTGCTGCGCGTCGTCACGTACCTCCTCGTCGTTTCCGAGTGCGCGGAGAACGAGGTCAAGGGCAACGGCCTCCTCGGCCGCGACTGCGCGCACTACCACCGGCTCCAGCGCTGGTTCCATCTCGACGAGGAGGGCGAGAGCTTCTCCGTGAACGTCGCCTTCTACAATTTCGTGATCCTGTGCTTCCAGGAGGCGCTGATCTCCATGTTCCTCTTCAAGGCGAACTGCGGCGCGATCCGCGGCGGCGGCACGCTCCACCTCTCCGGCGCGGGCTACGCGCGGCTCGAGTTCGCCCTCCGGCGCTACTCCCGCTGCGCCTGGGTATGCATCGGCTTCGCCATCGCGTGCTACAACGTCGCGCGCGACGCGACGCTGACGGAGTACGACTTCAGCGACGTCATGTGGGACGAGCGCAATGTTATTTTACTCATCACGCGGCTCCTCATGTTCTGCTTCAACGTCTACATCATCGCGTGCCTGGCCGTCGCGGTCCTCGCGCTGCCCATGGACGCGGTGCGCCTCTCGCGCGAGGACCTCTGGCGCCGCTGGGGCGGCCGGCCCTTCGCGACGGCGAAGCGCCACGAGAGGCAGGCGGCCTTCGTGCGCGAGCTCCTGACGCCGCGCTGCGCGTCCTCGGAGTACGACGCCAAGGTCGCGTCGGAGTCGCAGGACCGGTCCGGCGAGGGCGGCGCGTGGTCGAGGCGGACGGGCGCGAAGGCCTTCTACAAGATGCCCACGCGCGTGCGCCTCGCGCTCTCCCTGTCGCTCATCATGACGGTCATCATTGTCGCCGCGGGGTCCTACGGCTTCGTCGTCGTCGACAAACTCGTCACGCGGCAGATGGGCAAGGTCGGCGGCTACGTCGACGACATGCGCGAGGTCATGGACCTGACCAACGAGCGGTTGGCGAACTCCATGGACGTGATCCAGGCCTGGGACGCGTCGCCGATCTTCGACGGCGTCGACCGCCTCGTCGCGGACCACACGGACGGCGTCGTCGACGGCGACTTCGCGAACGCGACGGCGCAGTTGGTTTTTGAATCCATGCAGGACATCCTGGAGGACTACGAGGACGCCTTCGAGTACGCCTTCGACACCGCGGAGTTCGTGCTCAAGTTCTTCGAGAAGTGCTCGAAGTTCGTCATGCCGTCGATGTACCTGTCGTCGCACGTGACCTTCGCGACGACGTGCTACTCGCTCTGGACCTTCAAGGCGTCCTACGAGTCGAAGACGCTGCAGTTCCGGGCCACGGACGGCACGGTCAACGGCGAGGCGCTCCTCGGCCGCGGCGACGGCGAGGTGCTGCTGCTCGTCCGCGCGTCCAAGGCCGTGTCGCTCGTGGGCCTGCTCTGCAGCAACAGCATGATCCTGTGCCTCTCCATGCTCCTCACGACGCTGTCGACGGCCTTCTCCGTGCAGCTCGCGCTCTCCTTCGGCTGGGTCCCGCGCATGTCGCTGCGCTACGTCTGGACGCAGTTCGGCATCTGGATCACGGGCACGTTCCTCGAGGCGGTCATCATCGACGGCATCCTCACGGAGAGCGCGCACGTCGTCCACCACGCGGCCTTCGACTTCTTCGACTTCCTTTTTTGTTATTGGAACGTCGTCTACGGCTACATCCAGGGCCTCGTGCGCCTCCTGCTCATCGGCGGCGTGGCCATGAGCCACTTCGTGCGCATGGACAAGCGCGTCATCCACGGCACCTACAGCAAGTGGCTCGACCCGGGCTACAACGCCTTCACGTCGACGGTCGTCCTCCACGAGACGCAGTGCAACCCCGTGCTCGAGGAGGCGTGCCGGCTGCTCCTGGGGAACCACGCCGCGACGGCGGCGAACGCGCCGGGCCTGGCCCACATGGCGGACCCGCCGTCGCCGGCGCCCAACACGGTCGCGTCGCTCCTCGACGGGCCGCCGGGCGAGGCGGCCGGCGCGGCGCGCGCGCGCGCGCGCGCCGTCGACGCGTGGCGGCGGCTGCAGCTCGTCGTCGCGATGACCGTGAGCCCGCCGCCGCCCGGCGGGTCGACGGAGCCCTTCGCGCTCCGCAGCTGGAACGCCGTCGAGCTCGGCCGGCGGCCCCTGCCGTCGAAGGCGCGCCAGCTCCTCGCGGAGGACGGCGTCTTCGGGCCGCGCGCGCGCGACGGCGACGACGTCGAGGCCGGCGCGTCCCTGCTGCCCGTCTTCCAGCGCGGCAACCTGCTGACGGCCTTCAAGCTCATGGACCGCAGCAACACGAACCTCGTCGACGCGGGCGACGTCGCCGTGCTCTTCCAGTCGCGGGGCGTCGCGCTGACGCCGGCCCAGGCGTCGAGCCTCGTGCGCGACGTCGCGCTGAGCCGCAAGGGCTACTTCGAGCACGCCGTCGTCGACCGCCGCGACGACGACTACGACGACGCCCGGGAGGCCGCGCGGTCGCCCAAGGACGCGAGGACCCTCGGCCGCGAGGCGAGCGCGTTCTTCGCACCGGACCCAATCGTCGCGCCGCGGCGGCGCGGGTCCGCGGCGCGGTCCCGGGGGCCATCCGCGTCGCCGCGGCTCGACAGCGCCATCCGCGACGGCACGCGCGAGGCCGCGCGGCTCGCGTCCTACGCCAAGGCCGAGGACCGGCCGGGCGCCGCGCTCGCGGCGACGCTGAACTCGAACCACGACAGCGGCGTGCTCGACCAGGTCTGGGACGTGCGCGCCGAGCCGTCCTTCGACTTCCCCGAGTTCGTCGCGTTCCTCACCTGGCGCCTCGCGGACCTCGCGGCGCCGGACGACGCCGCGCCGGCGACGACGGCGAACCCCATGCGCGCGGACGTCGAGCTCGCGAGCGTGGCCCCGCGCGCGCCGGCGCCGCCGGCGGAGCCGCCGACGCCGCGACGCTCCTTCGACGCGGCCCTGGACGCGGGCCGGCGGTCGCTCTCGGCGACGCGCGCGACGCTCGGCCGCGCGAGCGAGACACTGCGGAAGGAGTGGCAGAAAATACCGGAGACGGGCATGCTCAGGTGGTCGCGGGCCGTGGGCTCGGCGCTCGTCGCGGCGGCGGCGGCCTTCCTGTCGCGGCGCTTCGCGGACGCGCGGCCGCCGGCGCGCGCGAGCCTCCACTACGACCAGACGCCCGAGGCTGTGTGGAAATCAAATCTTCAACCCGACTTCAATGTGAGTATATGCGACCGTTTTGACGCAAGCTCTTCGGCTGTGCTTCGAGAACTCGACGAGAGCAATCGATTCGTCCAAAAATCAGCCGAATCGACTTCGATTTGACCGAGCTAGAGAGGTTTGAAGTTTTTGCTGGACCGGGCGTTCCACTGGTTGATTTCCACGCAGGCCCGAGGACGTCGCCGCGCGCGTCTACCTGCGGCTGCTGGGCGTCAGCGACGCCGAGGCCCACATCGACCTGGGCGTCGTCGCGGCGGCGCGGCGGACGACGCTCGACTTCGACGGGTTCGCGCGCCACGTCCGCCGCCTCGGGCTCAGCGTGGGCCACTCGTTCTGGACGCCCGGCGACGTCCGCGACATGTGGGACTGCATGGCCTTCGTCGCCGCCGGCGCCGACGGCGCCGACGGCCTCCCCTTCGACGACTTCGCGGCGCTCTACGAGACGCGGCTGAGCCTCGACGGCGCCGCCGCGCGGCCCGCGACGCCCACGGCCGCGTCGCTCCGCGCGTTCGTCGACGCCAGGCTCGCCCGCGCCGCGCCCGGGAAGGCCCACGACCGGGCCCTCAGCAAGAAGGCGCGCAAGAAGGCCGCCGTCGTCTAGGGGCCGGCCGCCACTTTTAAAACTGCTGCTTAACTACAACATGCGTTGCATTTTTTTTTTCACCAAGCTCTGCGCCAGCGATGCGGCGCCTCTTACTGCTGCTTATTAACTTCAACAAGACATTCACCCTGCAGCGTGCAGTCTCGGTGCACGTGCAGGCTGCGCTCCGCGCCATCGATGCTGCGCAACTTAGCCCCAGCATTGCTCCTCGCTCGCTTGCCGGCGACCGCGCTGCGACCGCAGCAGATGGCGTCGCTCGCGACGCGTCGGAGCGACGCCGTCGAGGCCATGGAGGTGATGATCGCCATGAGCCCCGAGGACTACGCGGCCGGCGGCGGCGAGAAGGGCCTCGGCTTCGCCTACGCCGGGTCCTACGCCGGGCGCAACATCGAGAAGATCTACGCCGCGGGCGGGCTCCGGGGCTCCCTCGAGCGCTGCGTGGCGCGGGCGCTCGACTGCGACCACGCGCTCGTCGCGTCGGGCTTCTTCGTGCTCCACGACCGCGGCGGCCACGACGGGACCGCGCGGGGCCTCGCGGCGGGTTCGTGCGAGACCGACGGCCCGCTGGGCGCCCTCGCCGTCCTGCGCGCCTTCGCCGCCCGGGGCAAGCGCGCGTCGCTCTACTGCGACGCGCACAACGGGCCCGTGCTTCGCGCGGGGTTCGCCGCGATGGTCGCGTTCTACGACGGCGCGGAGCCGGCCATGGCGGCGGCGCTGCGCGCGTGGGCGCGCTGCGTCGACGCGGCGCCGGCGTCGGGCGCCGAGGCGACGGCGGCGGCGGCGGCGCGGGCCGTCGCGGCCGCGTGGGCTCCCGAGACGCCGCCGCGCGTCGACTGCCTCTTCGCCGTCGAGCGCCTCGGGTTCCCCTACCGCAACATCCGGGGCGTCGACATCTCGGAACACACGGAGCCCATCGACGCGCTCTGGCCCGCGGCCCCCGACGCCGAGGCGGCACCGGCCGGCGACGTCGCCGCGCTCCGAGAGCTCGCGGGCGTCGCGCCGGGCGCGCTCAGCGTCGGCGTCGGCGACGGCGGCAACGAGGTCGGCATGGGCGCGGTGGTGCACCGGCCCGAGCTCCGAGGCCTCGCGCCGGAGGGCTTCGCGGCGCTCTCGGAGAACGGCTGCGCGCGCGCCGCCGACGTGCTCCTCGCGGCGACGGTGTCCAACTGGGGCGGCACGGCCTTCGAGGCCGCGGCCGCCGTCCTCGACCCGCCGCGCGTCGCCTACGGCCACCACGTCGCCGTCGAGGAGGCCGTCTTGGACGCGATCATGGCGCCGCCGGCGTGCGCCGTCGACGGCAAGCACCCCGCCCTCCCCAAGTCCGTCGACGGCATGGCCTGGGACCCCTACCACGCCGCCTTCTACGGCGCGCTCTGGGACATCGCGGAGCGCTTTAGCACACCATCCCGCCGGCGGGATATGGTACAGCCGACGGCGCGACCGAGCTCGCGGAGCGCGCGCGCGCGGGTCGCGCCCCAGCGGGTCGCGACGCCCAGGTCGCCAAGGTGCCCGTCGCCGTCCCCGTCGAGGCGCCCGTGATCTGGGGCGCTCGAGGTCAGGTGGCGAGGTCGTCGCTGTCCACTGATAATGTTGCAGTCAATAACTGCCGCTGAACTTCGACAACAGCGACATTTGTCGATTGAGTCGATATTGAGATGATGATCTCCGCGCGAGGCTGCCTGAGCCTCGTCGCGGCCTGCCTCGCGGCGACGAGCCGCGCCACGGCGACTTTGGTCGCGTACTACTCCTTCGACGACGGCACGGCCGCCGAGGACAGCGACAGCAGCCTCGACGGCACCATCAGCGGCGCGTGGGCGTCGACGGGCCCCGACGGCAGCGGCGCGCTGTCCTTCGACGGCGGCGAGAGCTACGTGCAGTTCCCGGACGCGCTGACGTCGGGCATCCTCGGGAGCAACGCGCGGACCGTGTGCCTCTGGGCGGCCATCTCGTCCTTCAACGACGCGGCGCTCTTCACGTTCGGAGACTACGCGGACGGCGAAGAGTTCGCGCTGATGACGGCGGCCAGCGCGGGAGAGTTCATCGTGCAGTTCTACGGGGGCGACTACGACACCGACGTGTCAGTGAGCGAGTGGTCCGACGACGACGGCTGGCACCACTACTGCCTCGTCTACGACGGCGCGGACTGGTCGTTGTACGTCGACGGCGCGGTCGCTCACACGGCGACGGCATCGCTCAACACGGGCAGCGAGAACCCGCTCACGATCGGAGTGCGAGACAACGAATCGTACCTCGGCGGCTCCGTCGACGAGCTCTACGTCTACTCGAGCGCTCTGTCGGAGAGCGAGATCCAGACGCTCTACGTCGGGGACACGCTGATCGCACACTACTCCTTCGACGACGGCACGGCCGCCGAGGACAGCGACAGCAGCCTCGACGGGACGATCAGCGGCGCGACGGCGACGACGGGGCAGTACGGGATCGGCGGCGCGCTGTCCTTCGACGGGAGCGACGACTACGTCGAGTTTCCTTCGGCCGTGACGGCGGACATCCTCGGGAGCGCCGCGCGCACCGTGTGCCTGTGGGCGGTGATCAACGCGTTCGACGGCGGCTCGCTCTTTTCCTACGGGTCGGAGAGCGACGGGCGACAGTTTACCCTCCGCCTGTTGTCGGACCCGGGAGCATTCCGGATGCAGTTCTTCTACGACGACAACGACGTGACGTTGCCCGGGGTGGACACGGGCGAGTGGCACCACTACTGCCTCGCGTACGACGGCGCGACATGCGCGCTGTACGTCGACGGCGCCGAAGCCGAATCGAGTTCCTATTCCGTGACCGGGAATACCGGGTCCGAGTACCCGCTCACGCTGGGACTTCGCGGCGGCAACAATGGCTACTTTGACGGCTCCATCGACGAGGTCTACGTCTACTCGAGCGCGCTCGACGCGGCCTCGATCCAGGTCCTCTACGACGCCGTCACCACTGCGCCGACGGTGACGCCGCTGCCGACGCACGTGTCCCACTCCACGCTGATCGCGCACTACTCCTTCGACGACGGCACGGCCGCCGAGGACAGCGACAGCAGCCTCGACGGCACCATCAGCGGCGCGACGGCGACGACGGGGCAGTACGGGATCGGCGGCGCGCTGTCCTTCGACGGGAGCGACGACCACGTCGAGTTCCCGGACGCGGTGACGGCGGACATCCTCGGGAGCAGCGCGCGGACCGTGTGCTTGTGGGCGGTGATCGGCGCCTTCGACAAGGGGACGCTCTTCTCGTACGATTCGAACTCTGCCGGGCAACGGTTCAGCTCCCTGACGGGAACAACGACTGGCGAGATCTCTTTGTCCGGATGGGGCACTAGCTACGGGTTCGACGTCGCCGTGTCCGGGTCCGACGACGGCGACTGGCACCACTACTGCCACACGTACGACGGAACGGACTGGCTGCTGTACTTCGACGGGACGCTGGCTCGCACGGAGACCGTGGCCCTGGACACCGGCTCCGACAACCCGCTGACGCTCGGAGTGCGCTACTCGGGAGGCTACACCGGCTACTTCTCCGGCTCCATCGACGAGGTCTACGTCTACTCGAGCGCGCTTGACGCGGCCTCGATCCAGGTCCTCTACGACGCCGTCACGGTCGCGCCGACGGTGACGCCGCTGCCGACGTCGAACTTCTTCCAGGCCACGCTGGTCGCGCACTACTCTTTCGACGACGGCACGGCCGCCGAGGACAGCGACGGCAGCCTCGACGGGACGATCAGCGGCGCGACGGCGACGACGGGCCGCGACGGGAGCGGCGCGCTGTCCTTCGACGGGAGCGACGACTACGTCGAGTTCCCGGACGCGGTGACGGTGGACATCCTCGGGAGCAGCGCGCGGAGCATCTGCTTATGGGCTGTCGTCGACGTTTGGGACGGGCAGGGCATGCTGTTCTCGTACGATTCGAATGTCGCATCGCAACGATTCAGCTTCATGGTTGAGTCCACAGCCGGGGAGTTCGGGCTACTCGGGTTCACGTCGGACTACGACTCCCGAAACATCGAAGCATCCGGCTCCGACGACGGCGACTGGCACCACTACTGCCTCACGTACGACGGAACGGACTGGCTGCTGTACTTCGACGGGACGCTGCTTCACACCGAGACCGTGGCCCTGGACACCGGCTCCGACAACCCGCTGACGCTCGGAGTGCGCTACACGGGAGGCTACACCGGCTACTTCGACGGCTCCATCGACGAGGTCTACGTCTACGCGAGCGCGCTCGACGCGGCCTCGATCCAGGTCCTCTACGCCGCCGTCACCACCGCGCCGACGGTGACGCCGCTGCCGACGCACGTGTCCCACTCCACGCTGGTCGCGCACTACTCTTTCGACGACGGCACGGCCGCCGAGGACAGCGACAGCAGCCTCGACGGCACCATCAGCGGCGCGACGGCGACGACGGGGCAGTACGGGATCGGCGGCGCGCTGTCCTTCGACGGGAGCGACGACTACGTCGAGTTCCCGGACGCGGTGACGGTGGACATCCTCGGGAGCAGCGCGCGCACGATCTGCCTCTGGGCAGTGATCGGCGCCTTCGACAAGGGGACGATCTTCTCGTACGATTCGAACTCTGCCGGGCAACGGTTCAGCTCCCTGACGGGAACAACGACTGGCGAGACCTTTTTGTCCGGGTGGGGCACTACCAGCTACGAGTTCGACGTCGCCGTGTCCGGGTCCGACGACGGCGACTGGCACCACTACTGCCACACGTACGACGGAACGGACTGGCTGCTGTACTACGACGGGACGCTGGTTCACACCGAGACCGTGGCCCTGGACACCGGCTCCGACAACCCGCTGACGCTCGGAGTGCGCTACTCGGGAGGCTACACCGGCTACTTCTCCGGCGCCATCGACGAGGTCTACGTCTACTCGAGCGCGCTCGACGCGGCCTCGATCCAGGTCCTCTACGACGCCGTCACCACCGCGCCGACGGTGACGCCGCTGCCGACGCACGTGTCCCACTCCACGCTGATCGCGCACTACTCCTTCGAC